ATAAATATTGATTGTCATATATGTAATGTCAATCGGGAAACTGTTTAAAAGCAGGGCAAATGACTAAATTGACAGGTCATACGAGTTTAGTGGTCTAATGTACTAAAAAAAACTTTAGTGACTAAATTAGACAAATGCCAAAACTTTCATGTGTTACGGTATCATTTTCCCAATTTACAACCAAAAGTTGTTAGTAACGTACAACATCTTGTAAAAATTTGGTCATCTTCAGTGGCAAGTTTAGAAAGAAAACTATATGATTTCATAATCGTGTTCAATTGGACTGGTTAAAAAAATTGGGTTCAATCCAGCTGTTTCAAAGAGAAAAATTATTCGGTTCTACATGCATAAAAGTTGATGGTGAAATAACCAAATCAATATTTTTTATTTTTATTATATTTTTACTACAACCAACTTAATTTGAATAAACCGGGAAAAAATCGAATCCGAAACTTATACTAATCCCAAATTTATTCATCTAAACTTGATTAATATTTTTATTATTCAATTATAGTTTCTTAATACATCATATCCTTATACAATTATGAAAACAGTTTTAGTTATTTAAGCTTTCCATATAATATTTTTATAAAGGTGATATTTTCATAAACAATACATGATGACAATATGGTATTTCCAAACAACAATGAAATGTTCAAGATTCGTTGTTAAGTTTGTCGTGTAGCGGATTAGTTAATTGATAAATCCTCATCACTTTCAAAGTAAAGATTCGGGGGCATTAACTAATTAGATATTATCAGCTTGATTTTAGTAATTGCCAATTAATGCTTTGTCCTTTAAAGGTATATAAAAGAATTAACTATGGGGAAATTAGCTGGAAACATCTGAGTATATATCTTTAGTAAAACACTCTAACAAACGTCTCCAATTTGTATTCCTCCTTGTTATCATCGTATTATTTTCGTCATCACAAATCATTATTTTGTCTTCATTTTCATTAACAAAATTTAGAACGGTAAACATACAAATAATATTTACTTTTACACATTTGAGTTTATTTCTTTAATAAAACATTCCAACTATGTTACTGATGTAATGCTCAAAACTTATAAACTTTCTCCATACATTGGTACATACATATTAATAGATAAATTGTAGTATTTCCAAAACAAATAATATAGTACATATGCGTGAAATATTATGTCTTCCAATTACAAACAGTCTATAACAATAAAGATTGATCATATTTAATAGTATTCAAAGTATGTATCCGTTGATCACTTAGAAAACTCGAAGCCGTTGCAAATATTATATCTTGACTCTACACTAGTGGACAAAAAAACTAATGCAACATTTCCACAATTTGGGTAGCTTTTCGATCATCACATTTGAGGTTGAATATTAGGAATTATATTTAAATATAGTATTTTTATATTTCACTCTTAAATAAGGTAGTGACGGACTTAGAACAAAATGTACGATGTAGCATACATAATTTTAAGGATAGCATACCTAATAAAAATCTTAAAAATATCTCACATCAAGAAAAAAAATTAATAGAAAGTACGGGATGCTCCGGACAACCATGTAGGTAAGCCCTAGAAACTAAGAGTGTTCAAAATATCCAAAAATCAAAAAAACCGAACCTAAAAATCTAAAAACCATACCGATTTTTAGGTTAACCAAACTAGTATTTTTTTATTTTTCCGGTTCGGTTAACCGAACCGGCAAAATCTTCGGTTTTTCTGTTCGGTTATGATTCATGCTTTATGCAATGGATGATTAACCGAAAACCGACATTTTATTTTCTATTTTTTAAAATATTGTTTATGTTACTTGTTTAAGCTATATCAAATTATTTCTTATAAATTTTTAGTTACAATTAATAATCTTCATATTATTTATATTTTCCATTTTAAATAAATAATTAACATTTGTTATAAATATACATATGTTAATATTGATTAATATTGTCAATTATTTTTCATCACCATTAAACAGAAATAACCAGTGTTACAAATATCGGCCTAGGCGGCCGATTAATCGGCGCCTAGGCGCTTGGTGGTCATCGACTGTCGACGTTTATAGCTAATCGGGCTATATAATCGGATGTGGTCAAAGTCGGTCAAAAACGAGTCTAGGCGGGTCTAGGCCCCCAAATCGGTCAACGAAAGTCAGTGCAATTTTAAAAAGAATCTGAGGGGAAAATTGTCAAAATGTAAGAAATGCTTCTAGGGTGGCATCCGTTTTCTCATTCGATGCAGTAAAACAAATCGCATTCTCTCTGCCTCTTTGAACCGCGAACGAGAACGAACAAGGGACATCGATCGCCTCTTCTTCTTCCGTTCACCTTCGACAGTCTCACGCCCGTTTTTAGCTCTGGGCCCAATTCGTCATCTCCTTCAAGCAACGACGTGCAGTCTCCTTCCAAGCTTCAGTTCCGACTTCAGTTCCTCCCATCACGAAGTTTCTGGGCTCATGAAGTTTAAAGATTGCAGTTCTTGAAGTTTATCAGTTCCAAAATCAACTATTCTTCCGACTTCAACTCCTCTCGTCAACACTAATTGAGTTATTTAGGTTCGTTTTTACTTCTAACTCTTCTTCCGACTTCAACTCTTCTTCAACGTATATCTACGCTGCTCGACTACAACTCCTTTAGCGAAGACGACTCCGACTCCGACTCCTCCCCTGCAACCGCCGTTAGCCATCGTCTCCGACTTCTCCCATCGTATCTTTCTGTTAGCCATTATTCAACATATTCACCGTGTTTAGGTCGATTTAATGCCTTGAGTTCCAGGAAATTTGTTTTGACAGTGGATCTAAATGGCAGATCTAATGGAATTCAGGTTCGTCTTTGTCCATGTAAATTGTTTTTGTTTTGTTATGCTATTACTAAAATTGTTATTAGACTTTAGGATGATCCATCTTCTACATCCATTAATGATAAGACAATAGAAAAGGAGAAGGGTAAAATGGTAAAGATAAAGCAGAAACACAAACACAAAGACAAGTGGAGTTCAGATTGACGCACATAAGTTGGTTGATGAAAATCCTCAAAGTTTTCATTGTTGTTCTTGGCTTAAGAACATGGGTTCTTTAGACCTTCAACCATTTTCATGTTCTGTGCATTACATCAAATCTCTTTTACATACTTTGTCTTCACCTCACCTTTGTTCAGAAAAGAATTGATCTCAAAAGAAGCTTTTACATATCGGAAATCACATGCTTTCTGTGCACTATCGGATGGTTTCTAGAATTTGTCAATAAAAGAGTTGTTCAATTATCTTGTTTATACCATATATGGATCCTAGTAGTGAATGGCATTGCAGGACATATTTAGATGTATGGTGAATTTGGGTTTGGTTGTTAAGTTGTAACACTTGTGAATTTACATCAGTGGCTATGAATTTACTTATATTATTTGGATTAAAGTTAGATTTATTAATATTTGAAAATTTTCTTAATAATTAATGATCCCCGATTAATCACCGCCGAGTCGATTAATCTCTTGATCCCAGTCCACCGTCTAGGTACCGTCGAACGATTTCTACAACCTTAGAAATAACTAAAATATTTGACTGTCTTTTATTTGTTAATTAAAAAATACGTTTTTGTAATTGATATTTGACAATTCATATTCAGTAATCTTAGCATAGTTTTATTAATTACTAATGTTTAATTGGTTAACCGGATAACCAAGCCGAAAAAATAGGCTAACCGAATAGTTGTTAACCTTATTTTTTAGTTTAGGTTTAGGTTCAAGAAATAGACGAACTCATAGTCTCGGTTAACTTTCTGAAATATTTTTTCGATTTGGTTAACTATCCATGAACACCCTACTAAAAGCTATGTTGCAAGATCGTCGAATATGTATTATTATATAAAGTATAGACTTTGACGTAAACACTAATATATATATATGTTATAAAACATGTTAGTAATATCTTGAATGTTAAGAGGTATAAAATAAAATAAAAATTGTACAAATCGGTTATACATAAATAAATCATTAATACTTGTTAAAAGTTTAGAGACTTAAATTAAGAAAGGTTATTAACAAATTTAATTTGGAGCAAAATGACAATTTTAAAATATTAAATTCATATATATAAATTAATTTATGTTTCTTAAACTAGACAAGGATATTAATTAATTTACATCAAATGTACAAACTAATAATATAAATATATGGTATAAATATAGATATTTTATTTAAAAATGATGATTTGTTACTACATAATATGATAATAACTAATAATAAGATCTATTAATTATTTACTCGTAAAAAACTATTCGTATAGTAGCTATTTGTCGTTGTCGTTTTGCACGGGCACACATCTAGTGTGTGTGTGTGTATATATATATATATATATATATATATATATATATATATATATATATATATATATATATATATATATATATATATATACACTCGAGAACATGGTTTAATCATACGTGAATTGTTTAATCACATTAAACTAATCAATATATTTAAAAAAATATGAAATAACCAAAATAATTTAAATTTTTAGAGAATTAAAAAATTAATATTTTGATATATTCAATATTATTTTTGATTTATAGAGAATTAAAATCCTGATATATTTAAAAGAATAGATAATTTTTTTTTTTAAATTAATGGTAAACATTTGTTCTCATGTAGATCGTAGTTAGAAAAAACATCATAAATGATCCCTGTGGTTACCCAAAATCTGAAGTTTAGTCCCCGTGGTTTAAAAACCTCATAGATGGTCACTGTGTTTTCAAAACTTTCGATATTTGGTCCTTTTTGCTAAATGGGGTTAAGTTTGTTCATTAACTGAAGGGTATTTTCGTCATTTCACAACCACAGGGACCATTTATGATGTTTTCTTGTATTTTTTTTAAAAAAGAAAAAATTAAATATATAAAAGGTCTCTCTCTCTCTCTCTCTCTCTCTCTCGTTGACATCGATTCCTCCCCTCTTCTTCCTTGGTACCCCGGTAACCCTCGTCCCCCTTTGATAAGATTCTTGAACCAGGTTTCATTCTTCCAAGATGAATAAGAGCGTTCCTACACCAGTGGACCTCAGTTACTCACCGACCTCGATCATGGAAGCCATCGGTGTCTTCATGACCTACCCCATGTCTTCTTACCTCGAACAAGAACTCGACAAACGCTTCAATCTCTTCCGTTTGTGGAATCTCCCCCAGAAAAACGACTTCTTCAAGGAGAATTTTGGTTCAATCAGAGCCGTTGTCGGAAACGCCAACGCCGGTGCAGACCGATAATTGATCGACTCGTTACCGGCTTTAGAGATTGTATCTAATTTTAGCGTGGGGTTAGACAAGGTGGATTTGGGGCATTATAAGCAGAAAGGGATTAGGGTTACTAATACACCTGATGTGTTGACCGAGGATGTAGCTGACTTAGCGATTGGATTGATGTTGGCGACACTGAGAGAAATTTGTGAGTGCGATCGATATGTTAGGGCTGGATTGTGGAAGAAAGGTGACTTTTAATTGACTACTAAGGTTTGACTTCACCATCTACGCGAATTTAACAAAATACAAATACTTTCCTAGTGTAGTTGAATTGGCTTCCGATTGTGATATCCTTGATCTATAGTTTCTTCGTGTTTGTTTCTATTGTCTGAGTGTTTTGGATCGGAGGATTTTCCAAATTCGATGAATGGTGGGTTTTCCGATCTAGTTGCAGGTTTGAGGCAACAGTCTCTTATGGTGATGGTGGTTTGAGTTGCATGTTTCAGAACAAGAACAAAAGAAGGAGAGGTGGAGTATATGGTGTTTTTGCGCTTCAGAACATATTAGATGAATGATGGGTTTTTCGATCTGGTGTTGGTGATTAGAAGGCATCATGGGGATGGAGAGTTATAAAGATCTCCCTAGTTCTTGAGGTGTGTGTGAGAGAGAGAGAGAGAGAGCTTTTATATATTTAATTATGTTTAATTTTTTCTTTTATTAAAAAATACGTGAAAACATCATAAATGGTCCCTGTGGTTGTGAAATGATGAAAATACCCTTTAGTTAACGGACAAACTTAACCCCAATTAGCAAAAAGGACCACACATCAAAAGTTTTGAAAACACAGGGACCATCTATGAGGTTTTTAAACCACGGGGACTAAACTTCAAATTTTGGGTAACCACAGGGACCATTTATGATGTTTTTATCGTAGTTATGAGGGGCATAATTTTTATTTTACAAATTGCATTTAATTTTTTATTTTTTACTTTTGAAAACAGTAACAACACCTAAATATAAAAAATAATAATGATAACACATATTCATAATGTAACACTTACACCATAAAACAAAACCCTTTATTGAAAAAAATTATTTTGGAAGATACATATATGGAGTTAGGTGTCTAAGGTCATAATTAAATTGGTATAACCTTATGGAATAAAAACAAAGTTTTTTTTAAGTTGCTTTTAAGAACTCGAAATAGTTAGAAACAATTTTAGGAGAGTGAGAAAATAACTTGTTAATAAATTAACTATAAATGGTTAAATATTAATTTAAAAATAATTAAAATTAATTGGAACTTAAAATTTTGATTAATTAACTAAATGCGCATGAGTTGAATCTTAATTGTATAATTGTTGACCAATGGTGATAATTTTAGAACCTCCGTAGATTGGACAGTTTTAAGAGGACCCATAAAGATTTTGAAAGCCTCCTATAGATGTTAAAAAAATGATTTGAATAAGCTTAAAATATTATTATTTTATTATTCAAATTAGGGTTTCCCCAATTATAAATATAGATCTTGATTAGCCATTTTTATTCTACCCTTCAAGAGCAAAAAAAAAAAAAAAAAAAAAAAAAATCAGAATTGTCTTCCTCCTTACTCTCCTATATTTTGTTTATAGGGTTTCTAGAGTTTTGGGTTGAGCTATTAGGGACATCTACATTATTGGTGTTTACTTTCCAATAGCAGACTTAAAGATCTAGCTTGTTGCATTCGATTGCAACAAATGTATAAGTTAGTTGATTGTTTCATATTGTAGGATAAGTACTAGTTTTAATGATTATATTGATAGTATAATCTGAATAGTTAAATTGAGTAATTAGATAAACCTTAATTTGAAAATCAAGAAAGAAAGATAAAGAAGGAAAATTTGTGTGTAAACTTAAAGAAGGAAAATTTGTGTGTGCTCATGTGCAAAAAATGCAGAGACACGTAGAGAGATTAGAGAAGCTCAATATGAATTTCGAACATGAGCTGTCCATTGATATGGTTCTCAACTCTTTGCATAGTTGTTATGATCAGTTCATTCTGACTTATCATTCGAACAACAAAAAAATGACATTGATGAAACTCCAAAACTTGTTGTAAGCAGCTAAAGCCGGAATTCATCAATGAAAAAGGAAGAAAAGGAAAGATATCACCCAACCCAACTGGAAAGGGAAAACCTGCATTAGAGAGTCTAGTGGTGGGTCAAAAGGGAAGCCAACTATGATGTTCTTCCATTTAGTGATCTGAAAGTGTTTGTTTGCTTTTACTATGGCCAAAAGGGGCATTGGAAGAGAAGTTGTCCAAAATACCTACAAGAATTGAAAGAAGGTAAGTGCAAAGTGTCCAGTTTTTCATCTGGTATGTACACTATCGAAACCAATAACACACAAATTTCTAATTCTTGTGTCCTTTATGCGGGACGTGGGTTTCATATTTTTTCCTAATATGCAGGGACAAGGGAAAGTAAGAGAATTGATCAAGGGAAACTGAACGTAATCATGGTGACTAGATGTTCTTTGCCTGTTACCAGGATCAAGGTTAATGAGTTTGTGTTTGATAGTAGTGTAAGGGTTAATTTAATTAATTGTTGTAACATCCCATTTTCACAATAAAAATTTTTCATTTTTATTATGGTAAAACTTCCCAATTATAAATCAATTATAAGAAAAACCATTTACTCCCAATTATATTTATTGAAAATCAGAGTATTATAATAAATGTGGAATCCTCCATGCTGATGATGCATGTGTACAGTCCCGCCTTCACCCTTCGACGATCATCGATAAAATCCTGAAATATAAACAAATGGGTAAGCACAAATCTTAGTGAGTTTCCCCCAAAATACCTTATACAACAAACAAACTAGCATGTATAAAGGGTCTACAATCATCATATTAGAAAACCATGGCCTAATCAGTCATTGAAATGGAATTCCAACATGCAACGGGTCCAATCAGTCATCAAACTTGAATACCCAGGGTTCCTTGGCCTGGATCCATAACCCAACTGCTCTTCCCGAGCCTCCGTGCATACGGCTTGCAGCATGCCCACACTAGGTATCTTGGCCTACAATACATAGCAGGACCGCCTAAACCTCAACCACTACCATATGCCGACAAATAAACAAACAAGGAGCAGGTAAGCACATAATACATGCAATATCAAACATACATCTCATTACCGCCTACTAGTCCTCTCACGACACATTGCTTTGCTACCAGCTAACCTCCATGAAATGCGTAACCATAAGTAGCCAGATGTGAGATAGCCACCCGAACAGATGATCCTACTCTATAGCCACAACCAAACAAGGAACATGCAGGAACGCCTGGATCAGGAGTTCTCAGGATATCCTACATGACTACATACAGCCACTAAGACACTTCACTAGACGATAACCAGCCTACTGGTACTCTAACTAACATACCACTACTGCTACATCCTATCATACTAGTAATAATACATAAATCTAACTGATTACTACAACACTACAACATAATATATACAAGGATAAATAACCAAAAATCCATAGAATGCATAACCATATATACCTAGAGGTGAGATAGGCACTCGTATGGGTGATTCTACTCTAGAGCCACACCCAAACAAGGAACATGCAAGAAAGCCTAGATAAAGATTCATCAGTCTATCCTACGTGACTATATACAGTCCCTAACGCACCCCTATACTGAATGATAGCCAAAACTAGTGGGCTGACATGACTGCCTTCAATCCATGGGTACAATGAGGCAAAAATCACCTGAATCAAAGAACCCAGAAACATTGCGATACACTCCCTCCTGCTCTGCTTGCTCCCGCGAATCCACTATCACCAAAACCATATAGAATCTTAATCAATATCCCAAAACCCTCAACATTGACCCAAAGTCAAACTTGGTAAAACAGTCAACGGTCAATAAAAGTCAAAGAAAGTTAAGTTCCAATGTTGGCTTAGTACATCCAACGTACTTGATTTGAGTCTAGTACGTCCAATGTATTCCCAGGTACACCCAATGTATGCGATTTGTTCTCACTCCTCCATTAAGCACTTGTTCTGTAAAGGACTTTTCACCCAAACTGAGATCTAAACCCAAAATATCTTCCGAAGTCATAAAGTTTCGACCTTTATGACTTTCCATGGCTAGAAAAGGTCTAAAAGCTAAAACCTTAGCTTAATAATTCATTAAGAACTCGTAACTCTTGCATGGAAAGGTTTGAAGGTCCAAAATCAAATTTTTATGGCTCTTAGCACTCAAAAACGTCTGAAAGGACAACTCTTATTGTCTAGAGTAAGCCATACTCAAGAATACGAATGCTATTGGACAAAAATGCATAAAACTTAAGAACTTAGCAAGATCTAAGGAAACATCCATAAAGCTTCTAACTTTATAGCTTCTGGAGATGAAAACGGGTGGAGAACTTCCAAATCCAAAGCTGATTAAAGCTTACAAGCACTATCACCACCTTCTTCTTCCTTCAAAGGTACCCAAAAGCACGGTACATTTGAATGTACACATTTGATTGGCGGGATGATAGAACGATTGGTGTAATTCCTAAAGTTTTCCAATCATCTGGAATGTCCATCACCAACCGAGTTAAAGCAGAATTGATGACTGAAGATATGCATGGAAGAAGTCCTACTAGAGTCTAGGGAAATTTTTATGAATATTTGGACACACCCGTATGTGTTAAATTGTTTTGTGATTTTAGGAATTGGGGATTGCGAGACAATACTTGGGACGAGTATGAGTAGTTGTGAAAGATAGTAGATGCATATACTACCGGAAGCATAGGACTCACTCTTGGATCAGGGAAAGTCACAAGGTTACCAAGAAGCTAGTAATTCATTCCGTTTTATTCAAGTATGTCATTACCATCGTTTCGGTAATGACTAAGATGATGATTGTTATTCCGACCCTAATGGTCACATAAAATTGAGTCCAACTACGATGAGTATGTTATGTGGTTTAGAGAATCAAGTTTGATGTAGCATCCGACTTCAGACGGAAGATTGGAATAAAATGCAATTAGTAGAGGTATCGTGAAAAGTTTCTTGTAGCTAGAAACACTAACTTTTAAGATGTGATTAGAATATGAAGGAAGGTATATTCTATTCTGGAATTTGACTCTAAAAGACCTGAGTCCAAGCAATGCATCATACAATGAGAGGTCAATAGAACATGACATGTCGGTCTATTATGATAATCGAAGGAAGAAACTTATCTCAAGTTTTTTAAAGAAAGAGTCTCAAATAAAGATCGAGATTGCAACATAAAGATTATGATTGGAAATCTAACATGAGATAGAGAGTGGGTCCAAGATCAGGCACCGCCTGCAGTCAGGAAGTCTTAAAGTTAGATACTCGTTCGAAGAAACATGAAAGTTACGGTTATTACTTAGGATGAAGAGATAACGTATGGAGTCATCATGTGAGTCCTGTTTCGTTGATGATTCTGGGACGTAATCATCCTAAGGGGGAGATTATTGTAACGCT